CTCTCAAACTCAAAACACTCGAAAGATCTTTACACTAGCTTTTAGCGTAGTGCAAAATTGGTGGTTAGGAACGATTGATCATTCGATTCCTGCCTGCTAAAGATAAGTACCTCTGGTACCTCATCCTCTCGATAAGCAACCAGAGGCACGAGGTCCATCCTGGCCCATATTTGTGCAGCACTTGGCTCCCAGAAATACATGGACTCCCAAAGTTGATTCCACACCTTTCGCAGCAAGCAGTTCTACTACAGTAGCTAGATCCAGAGTCCCACTTTTGGGGAGCCACAGGTGAAGCTGAACTATTCAGAAAATGAAAACAAACAAGCACTCAGTACATACAGTACCGTGAGTGCGAACCGTCACACAGCCAGCAACTTTCCTTGCGCTGACTCCCGCGTTGCCCAAATCTTTCATAGCTCGTGTCGCAGCAGCTGCTGCCGCTTTTAGAGCCATATTGAGGCAGCTGCTCAGAGTCTGCTCAGTGTCAACCTTGTTGCTCTTTGTTTTCTGTCTCTTTACGGTACCAGTAGTACTGGTACTCTCTACTACTAGTAGCTAGAGTTAGCTAGAGAGAGCCCGATGAAGAGTACCACCGTACACTAGGAATGATCCGACAGTGAGAATATTCTCCCTGAATGTTCCACCCTGTTCTTCGCGTGCCGACACAATGGAACCAGCTTGTACAAAATGAGAATTTCATTGTAAGTGTCAAAATCATTTACATTATTGTCAAACGAAGATAAATAAGACCCAAAATGACATAAGTAAGAGTTTAAAGCCCTTTTCATTAAGAATATCCGGAAAAAATTTGTTTCCCTCACTAACAAAAGCCACAAATTGATGTGAAAAGTACCTCACGATGACTACACGATGAACTCAACCAATATGGCACCTACACAACCAAACCAACTATCTAGAGTTGTCTACATTCCTTTGCTTGTCACAGCCATGTATTGGTTGTAGTGGTGACAGCCATGTGGAAGGCATTATCTTATGTCAAACTAGATGCTTCATTTTTTCCCAAATATTCCCAAGTTGTCTGATCCACCTTCGTTTCGTACTGTGTCACCCTTCTGCTATCAACCTAATCATACCTATAGATCCAATGGTCATATTAGGGAGGATGATATCATTGAAAGTGAGTAGGATCAACAAGTTAATAGAAAAAGTGGCAGCCGCGGACCACAAATCCAAAATGAGGCACCTATGAGCCACAACTCTGGCATCTTTCTAGTGGTCTTCATCTAGTACAATGGCTTTAGCCATTCTAGTCTGTTGGTATTTGTCTACCTGTAAGGAATGGACCATCAGATGGGTCCAATGGGGCTGGTAGTGGGGACAGAGATTGGTCACCGTGGTAGATAAACCTGCAAAAATGGCTGCCCTACTTTGCTGGCCATTCGTCGCTCCTATGACCGGCAAATCAACAAGCCACTACCACCACTGCGACCGGCACATCCAAATTATGTATTCCCTATCTCAGAGTATTGATAGGGTGGCTCTATTTGTTATTCTGGTAGGGTAGTTTTGGCAACATGGTTATTGATCAAAGGATGAGATTTTTCATTGTGGAACAACAGGAAGCCAAACACCATTCAAAAAGTGAGGTTCCTGTGTGTTCCTGGAGGTCTGCAGCAGATTCTCCCTGATGGTTCATTCTTCCCTGTGGATCGTTCCTAGTACAGTACAGGTACCGGGTACCGGGTACCGGTACTGTACCGTAAAAGTATATCCCAGAACTGAGAGAAATACTGAGAGCTGTACCTGTGGTAGCCATCCTACAGAGGTATCCTTCCTATCGATCGAGGTATACCCAACACCTGGTGTATGCTTGGTTGTCGGTCGTTCATACCAGTGAGGAGGTCACCGCCTCGACCGTAAGAAAAATGAGGCTCGCACCTCTACTACTCACTGTTAAGATAACGATAAAGCACCTCTTTGGTTGAGCTCCTCGCACCTCTACGTTTTCGAAAAGCACAAGGCCTCAAATCGTCGCTAGCTAGCTAGCACCAGTACGTTCGAAAAAGCACAAGTCCACGGAAACGACCCAAAAGCAAGTCCACGAAAACGAAAAGCACAAGTCACGAAAACGAAAACACAATAAGTACTCATGTAACAGACTCACTATAAGGCATGGCTACCATGCTGATTAACTAAGGTCAACTTTACTGAGCACGAACAATACAAAGATCCTCATGCAGACTGCCATAATGGTTCCTGCTTGATGGCAGCATAATATTCAAAACACTTCTTTGTAATGCTCCTCAATCTTGGAGATGACCCAAGCTGGAGCTTTCTGAGCATTGACAAGTGTAGCCATGAGAGTCCAGAGTGGCTTCCTCCTGGAGAGGTTGACTTGCAAGCCCTGATATCATCAGCAGTGAAGTTCTTGGCGGCTTGTTGCCACCAATACCATGCATCCACTCTTGCCAAGCAGAGCCAACAGTTCTGTACTTGGCTAGCTGGCAGGCCTACTATCAGCAGGGGTGGGGCCACAGCTTTCTGTACCTGAGGCTAGTCTGGCCATTCCGGCGAGTCCTTCCACAGTCAACCCATTTCTAAAAAGATTACCATCTACCTGATCAGGTGTTGCCATCCTTGGAGCTGAACAGCAATCCTAAAAGATACAAAAATACATATTTAGCAGCAGTAATAGCCATATTTGCAATAGCCAACAGCCACAGTTCCACACTTACCTGCAAAATTTCCATTGAGTTTCGTAAGCTCCGCGCCAAGCCAATCTCCAACCAACCTCTCAAACCAGCAGCCGAACTGTCGCGGTCCTACCTTCCTGCGCAATGGCTGCTGGAGCTGGTTGTGCTGGCAATAATCCTTGTCAGATTCTCCTCGTTCGTTCGTACCTGTTGTTGCGTTTGCATAGCCGTCACCTGCCGAGACTGTTTGGCAACTTGACGAGTGCTTGCCTGGCCGGTCGTTCCCGTAGTGCCGCCAGCGTAGTGCCACAGCCGTGCCACCGCCGCCCCCGTATCCATCGGCTCGATTTCTTGATGTGGAGCTTGGTGTTGTGGTCCAAATAGAGAGAGGCACTTTCACCACAGGTTTGACGCCAACAGGAACATCGCCTTGATGCGCTCGTACGCATCTGGGATCCTAACACGAACGGGAAGCTCCATCCTCTCCTCCCAAGATTCGTCAAGAGCAGCCACAAAAGAGCGAAGCCAAGTGAAGCGAAATGTCGTTGACACCGTCGTAAAACGCATGCGTCCTTGGCACACATGCTCAATCAACCAGTCGGGAGTCACTCTCTTGGCATCCGGGTGTAGCTTGTAGGCAATAGGAGCCCCCATGCAAAGCTTTTCGGCAACACGAGCGTCGATCCAGGGCTGTTCAGGCGAAATGTAGGCATCAACCACCCGTCCAGACAAGCGAGCCTTCCAGCGACCTCGAATGTCAACTTCGTCAGCAGTAGCACCCATCCCTCTGCCAGAGTTGCAGCAAACTTCCGAATGCTTGACTCCCAAGAACACCAGCAATGAGGAGCGCAACAGCAGAAATGGAGCCGACAAAAAGACAGCTTGAGAATGTTGCGGTAGGCTGCGTGCAGTGCTTGGGAGCCAAATTAGGATCGCTTTCGGGAGTAAAGAGGAATGCATCTTCCCGACAGCGGCGCCATACCCGTAGTGAAGGACGCCTCCATGTAATCGCCAATCCGAGCATAGCACAAAAGTCGGTATCCATCGACCCAAGGATGATTTGGTCAGGGCATTGTCGTTCTTCCGAAATATTCTTGGACAATGCACCTTGCAACTGAGCGCAAAAGGGAAGTCTGGATGCGGCTTGTAGTCGGATACTTCAACTTGGAGATGTCGTCCGTCCCTGGTGATGAGATGGACTTGCTGCTTCAACATGCAGGCTGTACGGATGGTCGATTCAAAGCTCCCTTTGCCGTAGAGTTCATGGACCACTTGCGATACTCAGTTTCCGTCAAATCCCTGGTGCACAGGACTTCTTGCCGCGGTGTTGAGTCTCCGCTTTCTTGACTTCCTTGACCACTTCGTTCACAGGATCGGACTTGGTTGGATTGCCGGAGGTTCCATTCCATGTGCACCTTTGATGGGCATGTAGAAGGATATAGCCTTCTTGTCTTGCTCAAGAGTAGAGAGCGGCAAGTTGGATTCTGCTCGAGGTCTTTGAAGTCAACATCGTCGTACCATACGCACGCCATTTCATGTAGTCGGCAACGTGGTGTGGTTGGATGCGGCCAAAGCACTAGGTTGGAAGCGAGCCGCCTTGGTTAGTCCTCTTGTGCAGCCAGCTCATGAATTTGACGAAGAGACGATGGTAATCCCGGTTGTACTTGGGCTGTTCCGTGGGTGCTTCAGGCAAATCCGGCACGTCCTCCAACCCAAAGGCTGCTCCAGCATTGGCATTGGCCATGGCCATGGTGGATGAATTGTTTGGTCAACTAAGCAATTGTTGGTTGGTTCAGCTGCTGGAATTTTGGCAGAGTTCCTTTATAGAGTTGAAGGAATGAAAATAATGAGGAAAACTGAAACTGAAACTGAACTGAACTGAACTGAACTGAACTGAACTGGAGAGGATCGACCGATCGATCACGGGATTTGCCCGTTGGTTGCCTCTTTGTTGAGTATACGTCAACTCGTACGTCGTACGATTCGATTTGAGAGGAGTACCAGCCATTCGGATCTCATTGGATGTGGGAATCGGATTGGTGGGTATGTTGTGTGGTACTTAAGCGATTATTGGAATCCTCTCAGTATGTGGATTGGTCTTATGTATGCAGGCGCCCCTGTTATATCTTGTCAGTTGCAGTTTATTTAATAATGAGAGTCTTATTGAGAGGATCTTTGTTTCAATGACTACTGATACTGTAGACTTTCTACGTAGCATACTGTCATTGATCCTGAGGGTATGTAAGATCCACATAGTAGTAGGGGGAAGCACATACTGAGGCTGTGCAACTACTGTTGCAGAAATGTAGTACCTTCACCGTACCAGTCTTTACTCAAATGTCGCATTTTTGTGGGTGACGTCAAACAAAGCGTCAGCGAAAGGCAACCAATACTACCGTTAGTAGTACCGGTACGGTACCTGGTAGAAAGTCAGGAGGGCCAGCTTGCTACGATGGGGAACGTCATCCCGTCAACCACGGTCCGTCTGGTCCTTTTTTGTTTCCGCGCCCAGTAGCAGTCGTTTTCGATGGTCTGACCTTTTGTCACAGGTCTGACCTTTTGTCACAACAAGCATACGATGACAGACCAAGAAGGAAAGAAGAGCAATGACAAAACGGAGGACTGCCTCCTCGCATTTTCTGGATCACAAGACGAGCACAAAGAAGCATTAGTACCTTTTGCCAAGGCTCCGGCTGAGGGCATGAGGAAGAGTGAAGCGGTACATGGCAAGGTTGATAGTACATGTAGTAACGTCAGAGATGCTTCTCGAAGTGACGACACCCGAAGGGTAAAGCGAGCTGCGGAGCAAGCTGAGATCCCCAAAACGATTCTTGTTCTGACAGATACGTGCTCTGCCAAATCTTCAGTCAGCCATGGCGGCAGCTCGGAAGGAGAAAAGGACGAAGCAGTGGAAAAGGGCGGAGACGAGAAGAAAATCGAGAAGCGTGTTGTTACCACCAACAAAAGTAAGCCGTCAGGTGCCCTGAACCAGAAACAAGGAAGAAGCAAGGCACACATTGCGGTTGTAGGGAGAAGATCAGATTTCACTGAGGGTTCTTGCTTGGCAGTCCCTGCGCAGGCAAGTGAGGATCAAATGATTCGACTTATCAAGAAGGGGGTCCGCAACCGAGAGCAGTACCATCGTCAACACCGCAAATCGCGGCGATCTAGAAGCAGGGGCAGAGAACGCGAGAATGCTACCGCTCATGAAGCTCTACAGAGAATTGCTCGGAGAGCCAAGCTCGACGAAGAACGGAATCGAAGGAAAAACAGCCTACAAGGTGCTGCTCACCGTAGTGTTATGACCGAGAACACTAGCTTGGTCGCTTTGGTTTCGGACAACTCTCTCGAACCCTCGATTGGAAAGCCTCGGGTTCTATCTCGGTCAGACTAGGAGAAGAAGCGTTGATGTTCCGGATATGAATACACAGATCTATCCTGCCCAAATGAGCAACTACATTTGCACATACTATATTCTTATTAGTCTCATTTCCACATGCTATAAGCTTGTTCTGTCCGTATATTTCGTTATAGAGTGCCAGGCTTTGACAAACGCAAGCTAACAGTCAATATCACAACTGCTTGCCCAAGATGTCACCTTTGAATGAAGTTGGAAAACTCACCTTCACTCCTACTGCATGCATTGTTTGACATTACGTTTAATTACCCCAATGTAAGCCTACCGTACTGGTGAGGGTCAGTTCTCTGCGCTGGCGATGGATCCACATCGGCGTTGCAGTGTCTTCATGAAGCAACAAGCTATGGTAAGAACTTGAATGCCCTGGGCCGGTCAATGAACAACGTTACAAAAGGAAGTCCAGCCGATGGAAGACCCAAGGGGATGAGAATGTGCTTTGGTTCACTCCGGACATGGCAAGTGGGCATCATTGACCACTAGTACAGGCGACCTGGAACTGGCCGAAAGGTGGCTAGACACCTGTAGAGGAGGCAGCATTCTGCCACAGTTCTTGCATCGCCGCACCGTATAATAACCCGTGGCAACTCAACTTATTGCCTTGCCCTTGCATGCTCAACAGAGGCGAATAAACGGCCCCCCAAAAACGAGGAGCCACACTTCGTATACAATCTAGCTAGCTAGTGGTGCCAGAACCCAATCCATTGGGGGGATGTAATTCATAAGTCAAGGCGTGTTTTGCCCTTGCACCGATGCCGTATCAACCCGCAGCAAGCACTTTTCTCGGGAAAGTATCGATTTCAACAGCCTGGTGGCTGCCAACTAAGGATCCCTCGTCATGTTAAGGCAGCCAAGATCTTTGAAAGGCCCATCCGCTGGCTAGCTAGCATGCAAAATACAAGTTTTATGTAGATATGTTTAAAAATGTTCAAAGCAAGAAAAATGAAACGTAAGAAGTGCAAAAGTCTACTAGCCGAAACGTAGGCGCTGCACGAAAATCAATCACTAGGCTGTGCAATAGGTGTCATGCGGAACTTCATGTGGTCGCCCCAAATGGGCTGTGTTGGTGTGGAGGTTTCCGACGTCGTCAGTGAGAGCTGGCTGAATTCAGACTCGGAAGCCACGAGGGGCAGCACAACCCCTGGATCTGCCAACAAGGGATGCACACTCTCGCTCCACCCGCCGCCTCGCACAGGCGTAAATTTGAAAACTGTATGCAGTGGAACTTCAATGGACATACACTGCTCCACAGGTGTGTTGCGGAAGTAGGCAATCAAGGTCTGCAGAATGCTGACGTGACTGACAACGAGAGTCGGAATGACCTGTTGTTCTATGTCAATGATCACCGGTCCCAAGCGGTCAATCAAGTCTCGATAGCACTCACCACCCAGGAACCTGTAAGTGAGGCAGCAAACAAAAGTAAGCTTTTAGTTGGCGATCAAAATGAACGATGAATCGAATCCCCACGACGACGTACCGTGTGTGAAAAGGTTCCTGTTCCAGCCTTTCATACCAGCTGGGGTTATGCACCTGAATCTCTTCGAGCTCCATGCCTGCAAAATCCCCCTTGTCTAGAGGGTTCAGGGCGGACTGCTGCTCGATGCGGGCCTGACAACGTTCAAAAGCAGCAGTTTCACCGCTCCTTCGCATGGTACTTGCCAAAACACGAAGAGGGAAGGGAGGGTCCTGACCTTCGCTATGTTCATGAAAGAGAGGTGCAAGGCCGGACATGGATGTTCCGGTCTGCATGTTGTCCATGGTGCTTGCCCTTCGATCGAGGAACTCGGCTCCCTCTGGAACAATCGAACAGCGGCATTGTGCGGGTCATGTGTGAGACTACCTGACGCACAGAGCAAACTAACACTGCAGATAGAATTCACAGATTCACTTGTCGCTTACCTGCAGCCAGAAAGTTGCAAAGCTCCTCGCGGAACTTCTTGCCGGCCGGACCAAGCCTATCACCGCGTGACATTCTCCCTCGAGAATTGGAATGCGAAGATATGTCCAAATAGTTGCCAGAGAGGCTGGAGTGTGACTTTTCAAAGCTTGCCACATAGTCCTCGCTGTCCAAAGTAATACCACTTGGCGTCTGCCCTGGCCTACACAAGTAGACGGGCCGGGTGCCAATGTGCCATGCCATCAAGGCTGGGACCATTAGTTTGGACATGCGCCCGTAGATGTGATTCACCATCAACTTGGTGGACAAGTTGAAGATCTTGATATACGACTGGGAATCATCCTTGATGGTCTCATATTGATCTTCGTACTTCTTGACTCTTTGTCGGAGATCTGCCATGGCCTCTTCTTCGGGGATACCCTTGTAATCTGGAGAGTTGTTCACCTTGAAACGATAGTTCTCTTCCAAGAGTTCTTGATCATCACAAATCGACTCGACAAAGACAACCCCAATGGGTAGCTTGCCCTCTCGATTGGAAGTGCATTCTTCGAGGATCCACTGACGCCTGGCCGCAGTGGAGTTGGTAGCATCAAAGATGGCGACCTTATCTTTGGCCCAATCACGGGCGCGGGAATCCCCAATGAAGTCTGCATCCATGGGACTAGAACCACTGCCACGACGTTTGCCCTCGGAAGTGCGATGCGGCTGATCTTCACTGTCATCCGACTCTGAGTCTGCTTCCAGCCATCGCAGCATATCATCCAAGGCGACCTTGGCGACCTTTTCGCGGAGCTGCTTCGCTTCCTTGTTCTTGGCGTCAAAAAAGTCAGCAGAACAGCTACCCGCTTCACCTTCTGTACTCTTGTTGACCTTGGACACCGCAGCATAAGCTTGGCGCCTATACTTGCCAACGTTGAAGATCTTGGTCTGAGAGCCCGACCATCTTGAGAAAGCCTGTAACTTGCGTGACACAAAAGATTTTCCTCTGGCAGGCAATCCCACCAACACAATCACCAAGAGAGTCGAATCCTTCGTCAGCTTGCGTCTCTAAGCATCATAACATCATTTTTTCATAATATCATTATAAGTACCATGTTGATGAGTGGAGGGTAGCAGCAAGAGCAAGAGCAAGAGCAAGAAATAAAGGGGATAGTTGGGTTAGTATCCACGAAAATTCAGCAAAAAGTACCAAAAATGGGCTGCCGGTAGTAGGGCTTCTACCTACTGACAATTGACAGCTGCTTGCCATCAAAACATTGACACACGCGCAAGTATGAGTCAAACCTTCTACTCACCGGCTCTAATCGCGACAAGGTCAGCTTGGTCTCTGTGGCCAACTCCTTGGACCCTGCAGAGTAATAGTCGGCCGAATGGCCATGGCCAGCAGTGTTATCTTCACTCAAGGGAGGCATGGTTCCACTCATTATTGTGGTATCGAGAAGCAGCTTCCAAATAACACTCTGGCTGATTTCCTGTTTTCTCCAATTGCCGTCACTCGAAACGAAACCCTCCAATAACCAGTGTTTCGGGAGACATCAGAATGCCTGATGGCTTGCGGCTGGAAGATCCAGTTGCTGTAGTACTACAAGCTACAAGCTGCGAGGAGTACTACCAGTACCTGTAGGCTAGGGTAGTATCTTTTGCCAGCAGCAGGAAGTGAATGTACAAAACTTACAGAAGAAAGGTACGTACAGGTTTAGTACTGTATCTTGAATCTTGAAGTGTCTTTTGTCTGCTTCCAGAGGCTTTTCACGACTTAAAGGTTTAGGTTGTTTTGCGAAGGAGTCTCAACATTTAAAGTGCTTTTGAAATTTCAACTTGTATCTGCACCCATAGAGACACCACAGATTTAACGTATGTGCTCCATGGAAGAAAGCCACGTCATTAAGAAGTCCTTAAGAAGGAGGATACCGATTCTATTCTGTGTTAAATCTTTGAGAATTTCAAATCAACCTTTTAATTAACAATTTCGACGGGTTGTGGGTTCTGGGAAATGACAGCGGGTTGATGGGTTGGTGATGGCTGTTGATGTCTGCCGTGGGAGTTGTCGACATCACAAGGCTGCGGGAGTGATGAGCCATCACAACGTAGTGGAAAGGTATTGCTGGAGCCGGCTCCGAGCTCCGAGGACAGGAAGCGAAGTAGGAGAGACGACGTCGGAGGTGAAGAAAGACCAGAAACTGCTCAGCCTGTCGCAACCAAATAAATGTCCACATATCGGACTGGACCGTACATGCACGATCTTCCACGGCAGCTTTGAAACGGAAAGAAGAGGTGCCGTGGCATCTTCGTCAACATCAAGACAGAAGATAAGTTGAGAAAGTGTCTGTGGCCTTCCATAGGATCTGGCTGGAAACTGTTTGAATTGCTCTATTGTCGAATCTAGTCTAGCTAGCTACCGGTACCCTTGTACCGGTATTAGCTGGCTATCCCGTTCAGCCCGTTTTTTGCGACTTCGCGAGCTGCTCTTGGCCTTTTTCTTTGTCTGGCTAAACGAATAGCTACAGCCCATTCTGCCACGGTGCCTTGCTTGGCAGTTCAATATTAGGCGGAGTCTAGGCAGCTGGTGCTGTATTCTTGTGCAGGACTGATGAACTCCGGGTATCTGATTACTGAGCGATGTGTCAAAACCTGCCTACTAAAACGGCGATGCTCCTTCTAGCCAGCCCGTACCATCTCCGAGAGAGCGGATAGTCGGCCGCAGTGGGGTTCCCAGAAGCATTGAGTAGGAACACGGCACCTCATACCGGTACCGTATCTATTGAGGTGGCGCTGAAGGATGCTGAGAAACTTAGCCAGCCCCAACGCACACGACGACAGTATAGTCTTTCCGTACTGGTACAGTATCCCGAAGCGAAGATTGACAGCCGGCTGCTTCATCTTCGTCGATTTGGAGGCTACGTACAGGGTACCGGTAGCGTCATCCTATGCTTCCTGTTAGAAACGTAGCTCGCACTTGGCCACTTCATGCTATCCACACTGCACCTCCCTCGGGACTCCCTGCTGAGCCCCGGCATCCAACAATTGCCTATCAAGGCCTGTGGTGGAACCGGTTACTCCTTTTCTCCCGTTGGATGATACTAGTACCACTGGTTTGCAACCCAAATTCACACTCACGTTGTTCGGAGTAACAATCGTGGCCTCGTTGGACTAGGCTTCTTTCTTCGACTCGCTGTGGTACGATCTCAAGGGTGCCGTACCGGTAAGTGTACCGGTAGGAACGAGCCCGTCGTCGCTGCGGCAGTTCATCAGCTTTTGTTGCTGCAATGGCACACCGGCCTCCAACCAAGTGCGTGGGGCAGCACTTCCTGGCTGGCAGTGCGAGTGCCGTGACCTTCGATCCTTCGCTCGCAGGATCTTTGAAAATTTCGGACTAGGTACTGCGGTACGTGTACGTCACAGCGAGTTCATCAGCTCCTTGTTCTCAATGGCGCACCAGGCTCCCACCGAGTAGTGGGGGATTACGTGCTGCCAATGCGAGTGCCGTTTCCTTGGATCCTTCGTTTGAGACTTTAGAAAATTTCGGACCAGTACTAGCTAGCGGTACTTCATCAGTACATCACAGTGTGGATTGGCATCTATCCAGCACAGCAAAACCTGAACACAATGCCGCCAAGTTCATTCTGCTACCGGTGGTACTGCACATTCATTTGTCGAAGGAATTGAACCATGTCGTTGTCACTTGATGCTGTGTTAAAATGTATCGATGAGGTACCAGTGGGGGATTCGACAAGCAACCAGCTCTCTGGAGCCAACAATGAGCTGGTACAGTAGGGCTCTTTTCGAGGCCCTCCGACACAAACAAAAAGCGCATTCATGTGAAGTTGAACGGACGACTCACCCAGATTTTCATCAGAGATCATTGGGGAGGTGAATCAGTTGTCAAGAAAACGCTAGGAGGTCTATGGTCCGCGTTTGGTGAAACTACGGACGTGTACTACAACGACGAATACGCATATTGCTTCTTATCGTTTTCCACGCATGCCAAAGCCAAGAAGGTTCTTGACGATCTAAACGATACTCAGAAGGTCGTGGCAGCTGCAAAGTCTTTGATTGAATCGCAGCAAAACGGACAGCCACAGCTAGTCGCGAAAACAATCCTGGGTCACCTGGTTGTCAATTCAACTCTTACACGTACTGGAGCTCGAGCTTCGTGGGCATACCCCAAGAACAACAGTCATGACGATTTTGATGACAGAGAATATTATGACGACTGCCCGGACGGTGAGGACCGCTTCGTTTGGAACGAATACTGCGCCGGACGTGACTGAGGCAACTGTTGGGCGATAGTGGCGTTTGTGCATGGATGGAAAGAACGGCATCTGCCTCCTTGGAAGCTTAAAAAGTACGATGTGTAAACTGCTGAAGAGGAGTCCTATTTAAGACGGCCCCTTTCATAGAGCTCTACGTTTCTTAGGTTCTCTTTCTTTTCTACAGTACCATGATATTCGGACTGCTGGCCTTGCAGCCATGGCCGTTCTGCTTTTGCTACATCACCTTCACCTACAATGATAAGACCGCCCGAATTTCATAGAAGCCCAATATTCGTCGCCTACTAATGGTCGACGCTGTCAAGGAACCGATTGCACCCTTCGTCGAATGAAACCACTGGTTTGTAACCCAAATCGTGCTTTGCAGCCGAGATATCGAACGTACAAGAGAGAGAGATAACGTTCACGCTGTAGCGAGTGAACAAAGGGACAATTTTGTAACCGGCCAGCATGGCCAAGGCAGAGAAACCTTCCATCACACTTGCCACAGTGTAGGCGACAGGTCGAGGAATTCGTTTCCATGGACGTTGTAGTTTCAGTTGGTCACAGAGCTGGTGAACGACATCCAAGAAACGCCTGGAGTCGTCGTTTGTGATGGCGTAGACCTTGAGAGAAGCAGGCGATTTTCCGAGGCAGCACAAGCAAGCCGCCACCACGTTGTCGACGTAGGTATAGTCACCGACACACTTGTGGCCATTGCCGACGATGCCGAGCTTTCCCGACTTGAGTCGGTCAAGCAGGAGCGGAAATAATGTGGTGTCGCCAGGTCCAAAGATAGCTCTAGGCCGCAGGATGATCGATGGCAGGTTGTATCGTTTGGATACGTCCTGTACAATATCTTCTGCCCATTTTTTGGTGGTGCTGTAGCGGTTGGCTTGTTCGCTGTCGGGTGGCAATGGGTCCGTCTCTTTCACATCCACTCGATCACCGGCATTGATCGGAATGCAAAGCGATGGAGAAGAAATGTGAACCAACAATCCAACGCCAGAGAGTTGGCATGCCTGAGCAATGTTTTCCGTGGCCGTTGTGTTGGCCGCAATGTAGTCATCCCATCTTGTCCACAATGAACAGAGTGCCGCACAATGGATCACGACATCATGATTTTTGACAAGATTGTATGTCTCTTCAGTGTTGCTCAGGTCGGCCACTTTGAATTGTGCTTTGACTTGAGTTTGATCGAGTGATGCCAGGAGTTGTCGCCCCTTCTCCTCGTTCCTTCCAGTTGCTGTGATTTCCGTCACCGACTTGACAGCTTCCGGCAATGGAATAGTCTTGTCGTCCCAGCCTTGATTCAATGCTCGCACCACACGCCCTCCCAGAAATCCTGTGGCCCCTGTGACGAGGACTCGTAGCCCTTTGCTTTCGCTTCGTGCATTGTCGACGTTGAAGCCTCCTACTGTTTCCAGTGTGGTGTTTCGGGAGGACCTTTCCGAGGGCTGATCAAACGAAACAATCTCATCCTGTATTTTCTGTTTTATATACTCTGACACGGTTTGTCGGCTAGAACGGTCGATACCGGCAGCCAAGGGTCGAAGAATGTACAACTGCAACATAGCGTAGACAACGGTGAACACAATCCTCAATACCATGGTGACGATTGGCAGAGGATCCCGACCCCACCAAACATCATCATGGGAAGTCACTGCAACTTCTAACATAGCCATCCGCTCAGAATTGTTCTTTGCTCGGGCCAGAGCGCCCGCGACTGTCAACGTGGTCATGATGTGAGCTTCCTTGGTAGGAGAGATGATTTGCTGGTTGCCATTCTCGACGCTACCGAGATAGGTCGCTTTCATTTGTGCCGCAATAGCCGCGGAAAATCGTGGTGCCAAGAATGCGAGGCCATTCGTCACTCTTGGATTACATTCCAAACCAGCCAGTTCTCCGTTGAACCTTTGAATCACGTCAAACCCAAAGTGCCCTGTGAGCTGGAGTTTGCTGGCCACAGTCTGAACATACTCCAATGATTTCTTCCAAACGGCAGGTGGAGCCAGGTCTCGAATAGGGGAGAACCCAAGCGTTCCGGCAAAGCGAGGCTTGTAGCAGACATGCGCCACCACTTTGCCATTGAGACACAGGGACAATGTGCAGTACTCGTGTCCTTCCACAAACTCTTGCGCGACATAAGGAACAGTGAGGGGATTGTCGTTCCGTTCACTACTTTCCTCCATGGCAATTGGATATTGTCGCAATAGCTCTTGAGTGGAAAGACATTCAAAGTCCTCTCGGCGGATCATGTGATTTCCAATGCTTCCATGGCTCGCCAGTGGTTTGAGCACAACCTTAGTAGCAGCCTTGTTCTTTGCAAAGCAGTCTCCAACAGCTTTAACCAGGTCTTTCTGATTATGAACAAGTGAAGTCTGAGGGATTTTGTCCTCGCCAAATAAATTGGCCACGCATTTCTGGAACTGAAATTTGTCATTGAGCTGCATCAACGTTTCGTGGGCGGATACCCAAATTCTTGTGTTGGTCGGAGATGCCTCGAGGATTTGCTTCTTTACTTTTGGCAGCGACAGAAACAATGTTTCCTCAATGACTGGGATGATTACTAGATTGTCGCGTTTGCTTCGAGCAATCTCACAAATCGCATCGGTCCAGCCTTCCAAATCTCTGTCGGGTCGAGGGACCGTGACCACCTTATCCACAAATCGATTGGCAGCAGCAACATCCTTCCAACCAACGGTTGTTGCCAGCGTAACTTTGACATTGTTTTTCTTCGTATCCTCTTGTTCGGATCCCAGAATCCGCAACAGTGGAAGTGTGTACACACCACGGCCAATCACCAGAATTTCTTGTGTCGGTATGTTTGTCATTGCTCTGATTCAATACGGTAGATGGATGGATTTGGGCTTAAAAAAACTAAGCTTTCTTTTTCTTTGGAAGTCGATCCAATTTTGGTTGCCTTTCAGGTAGTTCTAATGAGATTATAAGTCTACTAGTATGCAGGGTAAACTCACTACTTACCAACTAACTGCTGGGATTGCCTCTCTGATCATGGGTTCTGGTGGGTTACATGAATTTGCCTTGGGCTGGTGGGTATGCCGCAGCGACTGCTCGATCTCAATGCAAAGAAGGCAATGCAAAGATACTACGGGTAGTACACTGGTTATTTTGAACCGTGGGAAGCGTTGCTCGTGGGACTGTTGGACACGGAGAGAACCGTGACCGGCACCGACATCGGGCACCTCGACGCCCCACTACTTTACTAAGTAGCTTGGTACCAGTAGCTAGATATATCGGTGGGCAGCATGAAGCCCAATCTGCAGATCCAGAAACAAGGGAACATGGCCAGCCCAAAGGCAAGACCTGCCACTTTGGCCTGGCCAAGACCTACCGGTACCATCAGTGGTCCGCAGAGTCAATTGGAGCAAGTCAGCGCAAGAACCAATATTTTCGAGGCACTTGAGGCCAAATCTGAACGAGCGAGGTACTATCTATGCATAGCTAAAAGACAGTTAGTTCCCAAGATAATCAAGGGAACATGGCGAGCTAGACCCAAAAGCAAGACATATAAGTCCCACGAGAGAGACAGATTTCGCCTGGGTGGGTGTCGCATCGAGCAAGAATAGAATCAAACTCAATTCAGCTTGCTTTGAATCACCTTGCTAACTTGGGAGTACAAATGCTATCTACTGTATCGTCATCATGCTTGATGCGCTAGAAGCCAACTCTGCAAGAGATATCGTGTAGTGTTGCTTTGGGCCTGCCAGTATGGTATCCAATGATGCCCTGACGGCAAATGCAGCGCTTATGTACATGCTCGATAGATTCGATTCACTGGCACAAGAGATTCGTATTGGACTACGGTGAAGCATCTTCGTAGAGCCAATTGCCGCCAGACTGTAGTAATGCAATGCTAGTTCCTTTTTCAAAATTAGTTAAACACTACATGTAGTTGTGACTGACTCTTCCTGTTCTAAACGCTATGGAATTTTTTCGAGTCTGTCTTGGCAGCCCAATCACGGAGCATGAAACGATTGGTCTTGGAGGAGTGGCGATGATCCACAGGCCATACTTTGGGATAGACAACCACAGAGAGGTTGCTGCAGTGCTTGAGGATGGGAGCCCAAACACTTCCTTCCAATGCTGTACGAATAGCTTTGCGAGCTGCTTCGACATCTCCGTGCTTTGGGTCTTCGAATTGGACGACCAGAGTGGGCGATACAGTCCCATCTTTGCGAGGCACACCCACAAAGGCACATCGATGAACTGTTTTGGTTTCCAGTGCCACCATTTCCACGCCCACCGGCGGAACCTTACCCATTTCACTGCCACAATCGACGGCTTGGGCCATGCGTCCCATAAAGTAAATATTTTGGGTGGTTGGTTCCAGGTAGCAGATATCTCCCGACCGAAAGATATATGTGGGCACCTTGCCGGATGGCTGGGAGGCAATTTCCATGGAAGGAGAAACCGCTTCTCCCAGCACACACAATTCTCCAATTTCCACGTCCGGAAGAGACGCCATTGCCAGCTTGGACTTGCCTCCCTTGCTTTCAAACTTTTCCTTGTCAATTGTCACGTCGAGTCCATCCACCACCGACCCCAACAGCACGCCATAACCCTTTTCACAATATCTGTGAGCATCTTCTGCTTGGCAGATTTCGGTATCACTGGCCATGGCAATGGGCAGCACTTGTGTGGTACCATACACACGGTATACTCCCGACTTGGAACCATCTTGGGAGGGCCGGATAAACTCCTTGGCCATGTCGCGGGCAAAACTAGCCGACGTCTCGGCGCCTCCGACAAATGCCAGTTTCAAGTCCTGTACCAAAGGTTTATTGCCTGGTTGTTGGTCTCGTTGTCGCTTGAGTTTGATCAGCCGTGTCCACAAGGCCGGTGGAGCCGAACATATTTGGGTATTGAAATGATCCCAAACGGTCAATAACATGTCGGCATCCACCGTTTTATCAGGAGCCGCGATCCCCATGGGTTGCATGACGGCCGTTCCACCGCAGACCACATCCAGCATGACAAAGTTGACAAAGATGTGTGTGGATATCCAGGGTCCATCGCGTCTGGCACCGGAAGTGGTAGTTGTGGTGTTTTCCTGGTAGAGGTCTTTGCCCAAGTGGTTTTGCAACATTTCCGCATATCCCGCCGCTTGAAAGCAGAGCATGCGATGTGTGATTTCAATGGGTGACGGTGGGCCTGTGGTACCACTGGAGAACATGATGGTGGCGACGGTATCGAGGGAAATTGCCTTGGCCCTGTCGGCTTTGTGCTGTTCGTATTCCTGGAGTGTGGCTGGTGTCAATTTGGGTGCTTTTTTGGTCAATACCGTGCCCTTGATCCACTTGACCTTTTTCTTGTATTTGAGTGTCATGCAAAGAGTCCGAAAGATGGTGTGCACGACGCGGTTGGCAATGACAATGTCGGGTTCCAGTCGGAGCATGGTGGCCAAAAACCCTTTTAGTCCTCCAAAATCTTCGGGTCTTCCTCCAAAGAGAAAGATGCACCCCGTGGCTTGCATGGCAATGAGCAATGCCAAGACTTGGGCTCGATTGGACGGTGCAAAGAGTAATAGAATTTTGTAGGGTCGTTGTCCCGGCTTTGGGAGTGGGATTCCAGCTTGATGCAATGCCACTCGGAAGCGGTTGACCAAAGCATAAAAATCCTCGTAGGTCACAACCGTCCATTCTTTGGGATTCCCCACGGTGTGTTTTCCCTTCAATTTTGCTTCTTTGTCCACTTGCCATTGTTTGTCTGTGATGACGAGGGCTGTGCGTTTGGGATCTTTCTTGGCCCAATATTCGATGCTGTCATACGTCAAGGTGGTCTCCAAATCAAACGGAGCGCCGCTCTTGCTGCTGGGAGAAGATGTCGTCATTGTAGGTTTTGTGGTTGCGGATTGTAGGGCTTGCTCGGGAATTTCAGTGGCAGTGGTGGTGCTCATTCTTTTGACGTGGTTGTTTCGTGGTTATAATAGAGTAACTACTATGGGAAGCTATCCGAGATTTGATTCCTTTTTGAAATTATGGGACTATCAAACAAACCTAAGCTTGCTGGTCTCTTGAGTATGACAACGAGGATAATCGTTCCCACCATGTATGTCATATATAGTATTCAGAAGAAGCTGTCACTGGTGTTGGTTTCCCACATCCGATTTCCAGGTCCCGTGCAATACTATTACAAGCGAAACAGATGATGATCAAGGAACCTGTGGTGCCGTGTAATCACAAGGCTGCATGGTTGAATGGAGGATCGTGGCTTCGCTTGACATCCTTCTTCTGTGCCAACTCGGAAACACAAATAAATGTAAATCGCGTGAAAAAATTGTGAGGGAAAAGTCGACCAGAAAGATGCATCACTTTTACCTTGATTTTAAAAAGCAATATCCTCTCGAAAGCAAAAATACCGTAAGTGGTAGTAATAAAGGGATGTGATGAAGAGACAAACAGAGACTTTTGCTAGCTAGTAGCTAGGACAAACCATAAGAATGGATATTTCTACAGAAATGGTATCAAACAGGGCGCCAAATAATGGCAATATTCCAGTGATTGAGTGGTCTTTGATTGTCTGGGTTGTAAGGGGCAAAATAGGATGAGGCTGTCTCACAGAACACCTTTCTGGAAGATAGGTACCACACTCCGGGGAAGATATGCATAGATACAACCACACTCCGGTGGTACTGATTAGTTGTAGTTGTAGACCTACAGTCGTACTGCCGGCATCGGGCCCAGTAGACAGGCTTCTTGTATTCAAGGGAAATCATGTAGAATGAAAGATAAAGATGCCATGATCACAACCACCGGTATTCTGTGACAGTTCATGTCTAATTTTTAAAAAATAATTAACAAGAAGTTGCACCATGTTCTGCAATCAAGGAAACTGGATGAGTCTTGTACATGTATGATGTATGTAGAAGTTGCAGCTGCTCAATAATTCCCTTGGAGCGGTACAAAAGACCCAGAAAAATAGACAACACTGGATACTGAATAGTACAGTAGTACCACTACGAGCTACGGGGGATCGGTGGTGGTGGTACCGGTGTGGTGGTGGCATTCCTATCCGGTGGCATTGCTCGATGCACTTGAAGCTTGAAGCTTTTTGTGAGGGTGCGCCTCAAAACCAAAACGGACCGGCAACATACAATCTTCTTCTGCAATTAATTGTACAACTAACTGTTGACATAGACGAGACGCCTGCAAACACGGGAACTGAGATATATACCCATCAGCTATTCGATACTAGTAGGAGCGACAGCACTGACAGAAGGAATAGATCTCATCACTCATCAATACAAAACGATCCACTCGAGAAAAATTTGCCCACCATACCGATACCGTTGAAGGGACCTCTTACCAAACCATAAAATCACCATGACGAGCGATTCGGAAGCTTTTGCTACTAATATGCCTGCCTCCAAGGCTGTCATTGAAGAGGGCGCCATGGTCGCCGTTGCTGCTCAAGATGACACCCAAAACCCTGTTGGGGAGCCCGAGAATTTGGAAGAACCGCCGATGCCATCGTCCGAATCCCCAGCTATTGGCACTGGTGAGATTTCAGAGGCAAGCAATAATGAGAACAACAACTACCAAGAGGGCAATGTGGAAGAAAAGGAAGAACCTACTGCAACCAACAACAACACAATGGTAGATGAGGCAGTTGTTTCTGCCACTGTGGCAACAGATATCACTGGGGATGATTTGAAATCAGACGAAGAACCAAAAGTTACCTCTGACACCCAAGAAAGCAATGACCTTGAAACCGTTCCATTGCCGCCGACAGGCAGAGCTGGTGAAGACGCCAATGAAAACACTGCAGAGGTGTACAAGGAACTAGAAACAAAATTGAGTAGTGAGGATCCTACGGTAACAAACAATACCGTGCCATCCTCCCCGGATGCTACCATTGACAGTTTGAAGCAAGAATCTGTTACCGAAGAGTACGACGACATTAATGGAACAGAAGAGCAACATAAAACTCGGCCACCCAACTGTCCCGGATGGACCAAATGGACGGACCATTTCATCCATCATCAAATTCCTCGGGCGGTGACAGCTCTATCCCTACTGGCCATTCGAAAGCCTCGGTGGACTGTCTGTATCATGGCCTTCATGTCCTTGTTCTTGGTGGTGCTCGGAATGGCCACCAACTTTCAAGTCGTTGTGGAAGAATTCGAGGTCTTTGCCCCCTTTGGAGTGCCATCCAGAGAACACCGGGAATGGATCCAGGACACCTCGGGATTTCCCTCCCCCGATGTGATTTTGGCTACCTTGGTTCATAAGGATGGAGAAGACATTGTGACCATCGATGGTATTCAACGCGTCTTTGACGCCCACGAGGCTGTTGTCAATGATGCTGAAGGGTATCACGAATTCTGCGCTCAATCTACATACGTCTACAATGGCACCAACACTTGCCGCATCATCTCTGTCGTTCGATTCTGGAACTATAGCCGAGCCATTTTTGAAGCGACCGTGACTACCGATGAACAGTTGAACGCCATTGTCCAGCAAGAGAACTACCCCGACGGCACCCCTGTCGATATCGAAACCATTCTAGGAAACCACAAGATCATTGTCAATCCTGATGGCACCAAGACAATGACGGCCCAATCCTTGGTAAGCGCCTTTTTGCTTCCAAACACGGAACTGGAAGAGGTTCGCGCATTCGAAACAGTGGCACTGGAAGCACTGTTCCCAGTCCAAGATGAAATCAACGACAACCCCGAAAAGTACAACAAGTATAGCCTCGAAGTACAAAGCGAGCGGTCCTATCCGGACGAGTTTCTCAGAGCCATTGTCAAGGATTTTCCGTTGCTACCGTTTCTCTACATTATCATGGTCAGTTTCACAATGGGTATTTACTTTCGACGACATCCTGTACAATCCCGTGCGCTCTTGGGTGTGGCAGCTGCCGTGACAGTTTGTTGCTCTATCATGTCTGGCTTTGGTTTGATGTTCATTTTTGGGGTGCCGTTCACCAACTTGACCATGTTGGTCCCATTTGTCATTTTTGGGGTGGGGTAAGTCAATTGCTGCTGTCACCACTGTGTTTGTGCTGTCTACTTTCTGTGAGATATCTGACCCGTTCCTTCATGAAACCTGTCGGTGCAGCTTGGACGACACATTTATCATTACCGGGGGTTTCGCAAGGACCAACCCAGAGGATGATATCGAGGAGCGCATTCGGCAGACTCTCAAAGATGTGGGTCTCAGCATAAGCGTCACGTAAGTTTGTCAAACGAGGTTGCAAAGTTTTGAACAGGGAAGCCAAGCACTAGCTAGCCAATCAGGGATACTCACTCGACTGTGATTCTGCTCAAACACAGGACCATAACCACGACCGTGGCCTTTGGACTTGGCAGTGTCAGCAATATTCCAGCAATCAGGTGGCTCTGTCTCTATTCAATGACGACTATCGTCGTGGACTTCATCTACCAGATCACCTTCTTCATCGCCATTCTCGTCCTTGACGCAAAACGTATTCAACAAAATCGCAAAGACGTTTGTGTTTGGATCACTGTCGACGAGAGTGATGACCAGAAGAATGCTCCGAGCGCCTTCGACGATGAGTCACCCAAAGCCCTCCAGGAAGTACAAGCACACTCACCCGCTCCGAAACATCAACCAAGCTTTGTGGACCGTTTCATGGTCTGGTATGCCGATCGGCTTTTCCATCCCTACGTCAAGATACCTCTACTTGTCTTATTCACAGTGCTCTTTGGGTGTTGTGCCTACAGCGCCTCCTTGCTACGACAAGAGTTTCAGGTGACAGAGTTGGTGCCGAGTGATTCCTACGTTGTCTCTTTCCTCGATGCTTTCAGTTCCTACCGTTCCCGATCACTTCCTGTTTATGCTTACTTTCGTTTTGTTGACCAGTCGGACCCGGGCATGCAAGAACAAATGGTCCAATTCATCGAAGACCTCGGTGAGCTGGATCAAATGGCTGACCCTCCATTTTGCTGGATCCGTGATGTTTTGTCTTATACAGAGAACGAAACCATTGGAGAAAGGCTAGGACTAGACCTTCAAGCACTGACCTTCAATCAGCAAATGGATCTTCTATTGTCAAACCCCACGATTGAGGAGCTCTATGGCCAAGACATTGTCAGGGATGCCAATGGAAACATCACAGCATCTCGTTGCCGCATGTACACAGAGAACTTGAATTTGGACGTTGTGCAAGATCAAATTGATTTCCTACATGCCCAAGTTAACGTGACGACCTCTCAACCTGTGAATCAAGGCAGAGAAAATTGGGCATTCTTCAGCTACGATGACTTCTACCTCACGTGGGAGTTCTATGATTCAATTGTACAAGAATGGATCATCACTACAATTGTGGGCATCATTGCAGTAACTGTGGTCGGCTTCTTCTGCATCCCAGACTGGACGGCATCATTCTTTGTATTGCCAATGATAGCTATTCTCTATGTTGACCTCGTTGGTACGTCACAAAGAAACAACACTTTGTGCTTCTCCTTTTTTCCTTTCTGTGGACAGCGTTGACTGACATGCTGCTTACTGTTTTCCATGTTTCCCCTTCAGGTGTCATTCAGTTTTCGGGTCTCTACATCAACATTGTGACGTACGTTGCGCTGGCCATGTCGATCGGGCTTCTGGTCGACTACATTGTACATATCTTGCTTCGCTATTACGAGTCTAAGGGGGCGACGAGGGAGGAGAAAGTCAAGGACACCCTCCGAACAATGGGCTCCGCAGTCCTGAGTGGAGGTCTGTCAACCCTTTTGGGTGTCGTTCCACTTGCATTCAGCAGCAGTCAGGTGATGCGGACGGTTTTCGTCACCTTTTTTGCCATGGTTGCCATTGGTTGCTCCCATGGGCTCATCTTTCTTCCGATCGTGCTATCGTATCTTGGACCCGAAGCGACTGTGGTACCATCTGAACCAAGATCTTTGCCTGAACCAGTGCCAACACCAACAACAAACGTGGACAAGGACACCGCCCCGCAACAAAATGCTGAACAACCGATGCAACTGCAACAAGTAAATTCGTACGAGGGGGCAATTAGTGTCTAACTAAGGCAAGCATTTAACAGCCTTGGAATAAGCACCGTGCCTCAGAGGTCTTTTTGCTAATTGCAGTAGGTCACGAAGTAGCTATCCTTTCAATGTTTCCTTGTAGTCTTCAGCCTACTAGCTACCGTAGCGGCTAGCGTAGCAATGATATTGTCTTTCTTTCTTCGCCTCTCGTGTACAGTAGTGTGCTGACAAGCAATGCTCCCTCGTTTGGCATCCACGAAAGCTGAGAGCGAGGAAAACGACGTGAAGGAGCAAATGTGAGTCCAATCTCCCTTTTAGATCTTCCGCCATGACCACTGCATGACACGACAGCGGTGGCATCACACGGTGCATCCACGGTTTTTGAAAACTACATAGTCTAATCCCGTCTCCCCTATTCATAATGGGCCATGGCAAACATCAGAGATAATGGAGAGCAGAGACTTCTGCTGGAAGAGGATGCCGACAACAAGCCTGGCTACAACGGAGATGCACCTTCTGAGCAACAGGAGGCGCTAGCCGCACCCAACCACAGCAATGACGATGACGAACGCCATGTCTTTCAATTTTACATCTTCATTTGTCTGTCGACGGCCTTTAAATCGTTCGAAGCAGGCATAATCTCGTCCATGATGGCAGATATTCAAAAAGATTTCGATCTCGGCTACGACCAAGAAGGAACCGTCACGGCTTCGCCCGACTACGGCATTGCTCCCGGCGCCCTTTTGGCCATTTGGGTCTTTCGGTGGTTTTCCGCCTACGGCATCTTGACCACCGTCTTGTGGGGAACTGCCATTGTCTCGATTATTTGTGCCATTCACCCCACACTGCCGACGCTCTTAATAGCACGAGCCGTGGGAGGATTTCTGTGGTCACATGCCGCCACACACTTTCCGGTATGGATTGATCGCCATGGTCCTCCGGCACAAAAAACCATTTGGCTGGCATTTACCAATGTGTCGTTAATGATTGGAGTGCTGTCGGGATATATTATGGGTGGTTTGATTCGAGCGATGGATGTCAATCTCACATGGGTGAACCTCTACTTTATTGAAGGGGTACTCATGGCCGTTTGTGGAGCTATCTTTGCACTCTTCTTTGAACCAGAGTTGTTCGGATTGACAAGGAAAGAAGACAGCCCCCAAAAGCACACGACAACAAGCGAACCAAATAATGGAACGAAATCTACCTCGGAAGAAGATTTGGGGACAGTGATCTTACTGCTCATGAAAAGCCCACCTTTTTACTTGGCAGTGGCGCTCACGGGATGTATTTCAGGTGGCATTGTCTACTCGTTGTATTTTGCCACTCAAGTCTGCGAAGCAAGAGGGATGACTGTCACCACCACGGTTCAACTCATCAGTACTGTGTTCATCACGGCACCTGCACCGGGAATTATCTTTGGATCTTGGATTGTCAATAACTTGGAGGATACACGGACCATGTCGTCACTTTTGGTGTGTCATTGGGATCTGCCATTATCGTATTGATGGCAGCCTCGGCCATGCCCATTTCATGGGCGATCTGGCGCGACACATGGCAACTCCCCTACTTCTTGGCGTTCTGGGTATTTTCGTTCGTCGGTGCCATGTCGGGGCCGCCACTCAATGGGGTGGCCGTTTCGGCTGTACCTCGGGCATCTCATGTCGCTTCGGCGGTGCAATTTGCGCTCGCCAATGCGGCCAAAATTGTGGTACCCCAGATTGGTGGCTACGTTTGCAGTGTCATTGGACTCATTGATGGATTCAACGTGACACTGGTGTCCACTGCCGCCCTGTTTGTCATTCTCTCATGGGCGGGATTGATGCATGCGATCCAAGAGAGGAGACAGGAGCGAAATGCTGCTGTCTCATTAGTGGTCTAGCTAGCAGGATGGTCGCAAAGCCAACAACAAATATGCCGGTGAAAAGAATGGTTGCATCGGATAACGAGCAAGGCATAAGATGTCCGTGGTCCTGCTCATTGTGCACATTGCTTTCTGTCGGATCGAATTATCATGTAACCTGGAAAAGGGAGTCTTTGCGTACAGCATCTTTCCCCAGAGAGCACATCAAACAGGCTCGGTCGAACCTAGCTTGATCCTGGCCTCTTCTTGAATCAATTGTACAGGTACGGCATCGATCGACTACGCAGGCACGAAACGAGCCTCCACGAAATCGCTATGATGCACCCACTCTAGCTAACTAGCTAATTCAATTAATGATACCTGTTCAGAGCAGCTGTTGTTGTTCGTCTTGCCTTCAGTGGATACCAGTCTGGTACATGTAGGTGTACTAGACCTAGTGGTCCCACCAGTGAATTGGGCAACGACTGATGAAGGTTAGCGCATTACCTTGCATGCCTTGCACATGGTCCCCGCGAGGCTTTGGGTTGTGAAGGTGTGTCGCGGGACTGCTTTTAGTCGGTACCAGTACCACTTCGCGTCCTGGACCCGACAGAAGCATCAAGGACCGAGGACAAGCAAGGACATAAAAACGACAAACGCCAAACAGCAACAAAGAGATTAGGATGAGTGTTATCAATGATGCCTATGCTGGGCCTTCTTGGGAAAGGCTAACGACACAACAGAATCTGCTTGGGGTGGCAGGATACCTTGTTGTGGTGGTCATGGGCTTTTCTTTTGTGACGAATCGTTTAGCTGATGAATCTAGTGAGTGTTCGTGGCTGCTGCAATGATGTGCTCGTTCACTGCTACTAATGCTTGCATTTTGAACCCTGTAACGCAGATCCGAAATTGCCAGTGCGAGGGAAGCATCTCGATGATTTGAACAAAGTAAGGAACTTTTCTTTTTTAGATATTCCCCGAGGGTATCAAGACTCACATACGCCTTGCTCACTCTCTCGCCTGGAAAGTATGACAAGCTATACCAAAAGGTCAATAAGGTGCTTTTGGTACCATGGGTCTTGCTGGGGCTACGTTGCGCTTGGTATGATCCAAGTATGTTATGGGAGATGAAGGACGCATCACCGGTATGTCCTGATAGTCTGGGTTGCTGCAATCGCTTTGAAGTCGGTGCGCGGTTGCTCACCTTTCTTATCCTCCTCTCCCTTGGATTTGAAGATAAGTGTGCTGCTTCCCATGCCTCTCTATTTTATCATCTATGACTTCTTTTATACTACAATACACATGCTACTGCACTTGAAGGGGGTCTATGCATACGTTCACAAGCACCACCATAGACAAAAGGCACCAAGGTGGGTACCATCCTGTTACTAGTCGATATTACACCGATGACATTGCCATCTCACAAGTCTACTGCATTCTGGATTTCACAGCCGCGGCAGCGAAGATGCTGTCAACGTGCATCCCATTGAATTTTGTCTGGGTCGCCTCAGCAATATCATTACACTCTACCTCGTTTGTCGGGTAGCAAAGTTCCACATCATTGGCTTCAACCTCGTTCAGCTCATCTATACCACAGGATCTACCTTCAGCCATTCCCGCCATGACATAACAATTTCCCTTGGACCACTGAAGATCTGGACCTCAAGGGACCACGATGTCCATCATCGCATCCCAAACAAGAATTTTGGGCGATTCATTAAGCTTTGGGATTGGATCTATTGCACATACCGGTATGTAGCCATGTTGTATGCTCTTTTGTTACCATTACACACCTTGTCCTCACTGTATAGAGAATTTTTGCCAATCTTAGACCATACAGTGACAGTGAGCCAATCAATCCCAAGGCGCAACTGAACCCAGCAACTGGCAAGTCATATGAATATGAGAAGTTGAACGCAAAGAAACAGACATAAAAACAATCGATTGCACAACCTGTTGTTGGTTCTGCTGGAGACTGAACCCCTCAAGGTGGCACAACCTGTTCTTGATGCTGCTGGAGAATGAACCCCTGAAGGTGGGTACATCACTACTAGGTTACTGCACAGTAATTCTGAGAAGTCTCGGACGGGAAAATCAAGCTCTGTTGATAGACAAGCTCTGTTGCTAGAATTATTTACCAAGCTCTGTAGCTACTACTAGCTAGCTAGTAGCCAGCCTGCATCCGTGGTTGTTAGCCAGTTTAGGCATAGCTCTGCTCTGTCAGGCCTTCACAGGAGACATTTAACAGCTTCCCAGGATACTTCTGGACTGTCCAAAGGGCACTGCGAGGAGGTTGCGCGTCAGGGTGTTACTGCCTCTGTGGATCCAGCAAAGTCAAGCCCTTTGGTCCCCATGGCGGTCCTCAATTTGTTGCCCTAGACCCCACACAACCAAGTCCAGAATTCCACCTCTTCTCTGCCTAAACATGGCCCCCTGCCAGCTTCCAAAGATGACCTTTCATCCCCCCATCTTTTTTGACACAAAGCAACGGCTATTTTGAACCAGTCACGCTCACGAAAGAAATGCGCATTGCTTAGTCGAGTGAGTCGATTCTTGAACGTCACAGTTTTCAAACAACACTTACTTCACTTCATCACAATCTCGGAAGAGGAGAGAAGAACAAGGATCAGAATCCTTTGGAGGAAGAACAAATCAAAAAGGTCAGGACATCAGGACCAGCTTGAGCAAAGCACTAATAATAAAAGCTGTGTTGTTATAAAAAGAAGTCAAAAGAAGAGTAGAGAGAGCTTTGAAAGGAGAACCTTGGACTGTTTTTTGAGAGAAGCAAGGAACAATGACAAATGATCCCTTGGCAACCGTTTTCCAGCTGGTGGATTCCGTTGTGGAGGTGTACTTGAGCACTGTCATTCAACCCTTTTTGAAGTTCCATGAGATTTTTTACAACCAACTCAATGTGGTCTTGAGAACCTTCATGGACACCAACAAGGACAAAATTCCCGATTGGTGTACGGCCAATTTCATCACCTATGCGAGAACCGTTCTCGTGGTGCCCTGCATGATTTTCATTTCCTGGGGATGGTACTTGTTGCCGAGCTTGATTGTCTTGCTGGTGGATTTTGGAGATTTTCTCGATGGCGTTGCGGCGCGATTTTGGATTGATGTGTTGAAGGAACGCCAAGAGAAAAAAGAAGATGGTGGTGACAATAATATTACAAAGCGACCCAGTTCACCCACTTCGGATGCTTCATTTGGTACGTACCGTACGGCAGTCGGAAGGCTTTTCTATTATTGTCAACTTCATTTGTTGTGGATTCGTTCTCAAACTAACCCCTGAATTTTCTTTCTTGTTTCAATGGCAAAAGAATTTGTGTCCAAGGGGTCTCCTCACGTGATCGAAGCATGGGGTGTGAATCATCGGGCCAAAACCTATGGAGGATTTGTGGATGCTGTTTGCGACAAAGCCTTTGTGGTACCCTGCTGGATTATGCTGTTGCATCAAGTCGCCAATGCTGGATACTTTCGGTGGATTCAATACTTTATTCTCTTTTGGCTCATTCTTGCAGAAGTTTCCTCGGCTTGCATCCGGTTCCGTGCCTATTACACTTCGACCGGAGTCGCTTCTCCCAAAGTGGAAGGATTCGATTTTTCCACCAGTGCGGTCAAAGCAGATCACGTCGGAAAAGCCAAACAAACATTTGAAATGGTGGGAACCGCACTCTACGTAATACCGTTGACAACCTACTTTGGATTGGCGTTGCTCTCCTTGGCCGTGCCATTGGCCTACGAATCCGTCCGACGCAAAGTGAAAAAGAGAGTCATGTATGTTCTTGCCGACAATGATGCATTGGATCACAAGGTCATCAAATTCTGGATGCAAGCCAAGGGAATGGGATCCAAGCTCATTGTCGGAGTCACGGATCCCAAAAAGGCCGACATGATCTTGAATGCATGCTCCACGGCTTGTGTCGATGAAGTCATTGCCGAGGCGCCTGCCAAAGCGGACAAAAAGTTCTTGGAACAATATGATATTGCCTATGTGTTGTCCTTGTCGGCACAAGCTCCATTTGTCACAGATGAGGTTCTCCATGCAGACTGCTGTCTTGTCATTGGCGATGACGCCGTTGTGCGCCCATTGAAACCCAAGACAGAGCACACCGACTAGGCTGGTACCGTACCGTACAGACAAAAGAAGAAGCAGAACAGCTGCTTTTCGGGCTACAAACCGTACAATACAACAGCGTTTTGAGTGTGAGATGTTCCATAGTATAACTGCAATCAACAGTGGAGGTGCCACTAAATGAACAAACCATAGAAAGGCTAAGCTAGCACCTCCCCTAACGAACAAATCATTGATGCATGTAATGTAAAACCACATTTTGAAACATTCTACTACTAAGGCACCTTCCTTACTAGCAGAGGAAGAGGTCCACACGACATAATTCGTGCGGTAGGCTCAAGTTCCTTCCAAAGTATCCAGCCGGGGTTACGTTAGCTCTAGCTAGTGCACGACAACGGTTGCAACGTTCAAACTTGACGAAAAGAAACGCGAAGGAACTGCGAAGACATGGCTGCGTGTAGGTACCGTACAGTTATGCAATCGTTTTGGTTCAGTTGTAGTTTATGTGCCTCCATTGTCACCGTTAGCTTCGTCTGTCTTTGCGTTTCATGTCATGATGATGGGATCATTCATCATGGTCTTGCTCTTTTCTACAACGTGTTTTCGAGCCCATTCATCACAACTCAAAATGTCATCAAGTGTCACGTCCTTGACCTTCAAGTCATCCTTGTGCGCTTCCATGGCGCTCTCAATGAGTTTGGGAATATCCAAGAAACCAAGGCCAATATCCTCTCGGAACATTTCATTGGCAGCTTCGTTTGCAGCGTTGAGGACGGCAGTCATGGTTCCACCGGTACGTCCAGCGTCATAGGCCAGTCGGATGCAAGGATATTTCTCATGATCAGGGGCCTTGAAAGTCAATGTAGACAATTCGGCCAAATCCAATGGTCTGTAAGGCATCTTCAGCCTGTGAGGCCACGAAACAGAGTAGACAATTGGCAGTCTCATATCGGCCCATCCAAGTTGAGCAATGCAAGAAGTATCTTGCGTTTCCACCATGGAATGCACAATCGATTGAGGATGGATCACAATATCAATGTCATCATAACTGGCACCAAACAAGTAGTGTGCTTCAATCACCTGAGGAGAATTTGGGAGGAATTTCGTTAGCAAAACGACAATGTAGCAGTGCATTAGTTTCAGCGTGATTGGTTGCAGTGCGACTCACTTCCAACCCCTTGTTCATCATTGTGGCGCTATCTAAAGTAATTTTGGCACCCATATCCCAGTTTGGATGTGTGGTGGCCTTTGCCTGCACTGCTCTTGGATCTTCCTCACACATTTTGAACAGCTCGTCTTTGGTCAAATCCCGGAAGGCGCCACCTGACGCGGTCAAGATGACTCGTCTGAGGCCACCCTCGGGGACGCCCTGCAGACACTGAAAAATGGCACTGTGTTCACTATCAGCTGGGAGCATATTGATACCATGTTTTTCCACGAGAGGATTAATCACAGCCCCCCCACTGATCAACGTCTCCTTGTTGGCCAGAGCAATATCTTTCCCGAGCTTGATAGCTTCAATTGTTGGCTTTAGTCCGGCAGCCCCTACAATTCCCGTGACCACGGTGTCGGCAGATGCAACTGTGGCGGCAGCTAGAATACCTTCTTCACCGTGGACAATTTCGGGCATATCGGCACAGCCAGCAGCCTTCAGGAGAGTCTTCAGTTCAGCAGCAGCTTCTGGTGTAGACAATGATGCAACCTTAGGCTTGTACTTGAGGACTTGTTCAGCCATCAATTTGGCATTATTTCCAGCTGAAAGGGCGTCTACAACGAAATTGTCCGGGCAGGCATCCACAATGTCCAAGGTTTGAGTACCAATGCTGCCAGTGGACCCCAGCAAGGAAAGACGCTTTTTGAACTCGGCGCCCTCCAAACTCTTTTCAAGGGTCTTTTTCGAAGCCGCCTCCGAATTGACTGGGGCCGATGGATCAATCCACCCTTCTCCATCTCCCTTGCTACCCGAGATCATTTTCTTGGCCTCCAACGGAAGAACATGGGAAGATTTTGTATTTACAGGCACAAATGCCGATGCACTGGCCAAAAGCAAGGCGGAAACCGCTAGAGACAACTTCATGGTCAATTCTATTGATGAGGAGGGTGGGATTGATTCCAAAGGGAGAGATCAGATGTGATGTCCCTGCAAATGTTTTTTGAAAGAACAAGGGTTGTTGTCCAACAAGGGATACCACGCACGTTGGTGCTGACGAAGTTCAACTTGCGCTTCAGGTTCCAGCTTTTATGCTGCAGAGCTGTATTCCCATCTCTTGTGCCTGATTCACCCACGAGCGACTGAAGAAGGTTTTGCCTTTCAAGTTTTTGGCTCCCACCTCCAATCCTTCCGGCTCTTGCTGGCTTGACCATAAAATTGTAATTCCTAAACCTTTCCCTTAAAATAAAACCTAGCACACTCACAGGAATGGGAAGACATTGGGCTTCTGGCTGGTCACTGAGGATCTTTCATTTTGGGCTTATGATTGGAAGATTCATCATTCAACAAGAAGACTTGGTCACTCTTGCTTCAGGTCTCAATTCAAGGAATGCTGATTGGCTGCAACCATCCCCAGCGTCAACAATGGCGTCGACCGCAAGTACAACCAACGAGAAGAGCTCAAAGAAGCGAAGCGTGCTGCCAAGTAAGTGCCAAGGTGCAAGCCAATCACTTCAATTCCCCGCTTCGGACAAATGCAGGAGGCTACGGTAGATCTTGAGAGCTTCTATCTTGTGGGTTGGGATATTGAAGGGTTGGGAGTGGTTCAACGAGCCATTGACTATACTTCCCACTCCAGGTACTTTGGGCTAGCTAGTGCTACATGTAGTGAAACTGGTTGGATGAGGCTTACTGTACAATAGCTGCTACTTTAGATAAAGGGGGGTTAGAGTCTATGCTCTTAGGTTTGAGCAACCTCATGGCTAAATGAGATCAGGAAAGGCGAGCGAGACTATTTTGGGACCTAGTCTCGCACTGATCGCCATCTATCTGTGCACCTAAGTTCCTCTCAGCGAGCCCTTCAAGCTTCAACTCGAGGTATCCCAGCCAGAAGTCGCTCGGTTGTGTTCATGTACCGGTCTGTGTGTGTTGGTCCTTCATACCGCTGCCTTTTTGTTTTACCGCAAGCGCATCCATAAACCATACTAGTACCACTGCTGCCTTGCTTACTCATCACAAACTACAAGTGGCTCTTTTCTCTGACGAATGCAGAAGACAAGAGAGTGTACCGTACGCCCATCGTTCCTAATTCATGTCAACTTTGATCGTCGTCACAACCCATGTATGGTTTAAGACCTGGTGGGAGCCTGCGATGAGTCAGGTCAAACCATGCATTTCCGTTCCGGTAGATGCAGCCTATTCATCCTTGACGAATCGTGTAATTGCAACAAAGATACTGCCAGCACCAATCAGAGCACAAGAGCAGGTGTGAAAATGCCGCTCTCATCGGGGAATTACCCCGGACACCAGCTGGCATTTGCATGCAACAGCCCAAACTGTGGGGAGGGTAGCTGTAATTTTGGTTGGGACATGCGGGCAGACGGATCGTGTGTGGCCACCGCGTGCGGCGCAGCGGTGTTGAAAGCTGTTTCAGATGATGCGATCACCAGCAACTTGCTAAGACTACCAAGCTACCAAGGCGAAGGCCATCAATTGTTAGTTGCGTTGCAGTTACGGCATCGCAGAAACCAAGCCACTTGCTCATCATCACCATTGCATTGGCCCATTCTCATTTGCATGGAGGCAAAGATTCTTTGGATAGATTGAATCTCAATCTTTTTAGTGTGGTGAGGGGCACTTTTCCGTCACCAGTGAGAGAGATAAAGCCATCACTATTATACTACCCACTACCTTCATCCATTCTCATTATACCTCAGATCGATACCTAGATTGAGACTACCCATCGCTTGCACCAATGATGGCAACAATAGTGACAATGGACTCTAACGTTGTTGTTGTGTCGCCTCGTGACTACAACAAGGTTTCCGAACCCGAACTGGTCCATGAGTCGCAACGCTTTTGCCTGGATGGACACCCCAACGATAGTAGTAGTAGTGAGAGGACCAGCAGCACGAACCCTTCCGAGAGGCAGCTGAAGTCGGGCTTAAACGGCTTGAGTGACCGATCAAGGACCGAGACAGCGACGACGGCCGACAGTCCCATTGGTACCAGCTCTTCCGTGTCCACACAAATGGCAAGCCCTTTGGCGGCCCTCCACAAGCATCCTGTGCCTCATTCTTTCTTCACGGACTCTACGCAGACGAACGACTTGACCAACTCCAACGTCTCGCTTCAAGACATGTACGAGGACGCTGCTGACTCTCAGCAACGCTCCAATATTATGTTTGGCGACCATTCGGGTCAACCACTATTACAACGACAACAACAACAGCCTCTTGCCACAATGACCCGACTCAGAGGGCCTGTTGTGGACGAGTCGACAAGGATAGCCAAGCCGTTAAAAATTGGAGACTCCACACTGGGAACTCCTCCTACTAGCTTGCATCCTCAACCAACAAATGCGCCACCTGCTGTAACGTTACCACCGGCAGCCGATCAAATTGGCACCATTGATGAATCAGAAGCCTCCGACAATCACTTGGGATTGAGCATCTCTCCGGCGTTTCCCATGGAGGGGAGTGCACCTTCCAAATCCTCCCTTCCTCGACCCATGCTGTATAGCGCCATTGGGTCTCTCGAAACTTGTAGTGCTCATAGCCTCAAAAGCATGTGGAACAACAAACAACAACCACCACCCAATGGATTTTCCAGATTTGATGCAAATAATCTGATTGCTCCCCAACAGCAATCCAGAAATAATATCCTGCAGGGGGGTTTGCTGGGAGGGAACTCGTTGTTGCAGCAGCATCAGGAGAAAAAGTCGCCGATTCGAGACCCCGTAGTGGAAACTTCCACACCGGCCAAATTTGGAGATTCTTCTCCTCAGAACAAGACTTCTACTCCAGCTGGCCATTGGACACCCCCCACAATCGTTCCGTTGACGGCCGACCACCAAAAAGCTTTTGCAGACAGCTTTCGCTTGATACGGGATAAAGTGGACGCCGCACAACAACGACGCAGGCCCAAGAGAATGGCAGCCCCGCAACCTCCCCCGTCCAATGTGGAAACGTCCTTGGCAGCAGAAACCAAAAAAGACCCCACCAAAGCAACGACCCATCTTCCCTCCAGCCTGCGCCATGGTCCATCCAAGGATCGTTGTGATTCCAAGAAGAAGAACAAAAAGTCTGTCAAGATTGATGATGCCAGTCTCCAGCGCAAGAAACGCAGCGGCCCGAAAAAACAGGTGGAAATGTTCCGTCCTTCCTGTGACGCCTACACACCCCGAATGGAACGAAAGAAAATCACGTACAAACCGGCAGAGAAGCGAGAACCGGTGCAGAAAATGGCCACGACCATGGGAACTCTGTCAAGGCCCAACTTTCGTGATGCACTGAGACGGGTTGCCATGTTGATGCGGCAACACATTGTCAAGATTGAACAACGTTTCAACAGTCGACCCGTCGGTCGAGGCGATGAGGAAGGGTTGTTCAAAATGTCCATGAAAGAAGCCTTTTCGGAGGAAAAGTTTGCCACTTGCCGCTACAAGTGCACTGTGGTTCGTGTTCCCATGGCTCGACCAGGAATGGTGTTTGGCTTGAAGAAGATTCGCCCCAAGTATGAGATTCCCACCGAAGAAGAAATATACGAGTTTGCGCACCAGCTCTTCAAAACTGTGCAGTTGTCCTCGGAATGCTCCATCGTTTGTCTCATTTACGTAGAGCGATTGATGGAGACTGCCAAGGTACCGCTGCTGGCAAGCACATGGAGGCCGATATTCATGTGTGGTCTGCTGTTGGCGTCCAAAGTGTGGCAAGACTTGAGTTCGTGGAATATTGAGTTTGCCAGCGTGTATCCCCAATTCTCGTTGGATGCCATCAACAAGCTCGAGCTGGAGTTCTTGCGGAGGCTCAAGTGGGATCTCTATGTATCCAGCAGGTAAGACAATTTTTCACTGAAACATCGATTGCCTTCCCCCGTCGGGTATCTCACTCTGCGACTTTTAACCGCAAACACACAGCCTTTACGCGAAATACTACTTTGCCCTTCGATCGTTGGTAGAGAAGCCCGACTTTCGACAAAGGTATAATCGCATGGTCGGTGGAGTGGACAGCGTTGCAGCATCTGAGGCACTCAAGATCCAAAAGAGGACGGAGCAGGTCAAGGAGGAGGCGCTTCTTCAGCTGAGTAGGAGCATGTAGAATGGTTCTTTGTTTCTCGACTAACATCTTGGCTGGATTCCGCTTATCGAAGCCAGATGCTTTAGACGTTTTGGCGTACCTCTAGTTCACTGCCTTGCCGAACCAAGGTCATGCTGTGTAGCGCAGAAATAGGATTGCGCCGAGCACCATTCTTAGCAAACTCTTGATGCCAGAACCGTTAGCATGGTCGTTTCAAGAAAGCCTCCCCGCACGACTTTGTACGGTGTTACACCACAGTTTGCTTTCATTGTTTTACCCTTTGCTCTACCCCAAGACTCTTCTCTTGTCTACCGTGTTCCAGCGTCACAGCACTGCCAGTGTAACCTCTTGCTGATGTTTCCCCGATCGAAGGGAATCGCACACTGGCTTGCTAGTAGTACCGGGAGAAGATGTGCTGCTGGTTAAAACTGGTCGGTACGCACAGAGCCTCTTGCTGATGTTTCCCCGATCGAAGGGAATCACACTATCACACACTGGCTTTCTAGTAGTTGTACCGGGAGAAGATGTGCTGCTGGTTAAAACTGGTCGGTACGCACAGAGCAGCAGCCACGGTCGTACTGGAACAGCTACCGGTACTGTACCGCACCGGTACAGCAACGTTGTGCTCTTGTTGTACCGGTATGTTCAATCTTGCCACATGTACGATGTCCAGAAACGTGAAAGATATCTTACATTACAGCTACTAGCTAGTAGTGAAGCCACACAGAATAGTATACCGTGGCCTCTTGAAGTCATTACATACATTATAGACTGTGAAGGGGAGGGGATCAAATCAAGCACTCGATTTAGGAAGTGGCCTCATCTGGCTCTTCTTCAAACATAACATCGTCCTGCAATTTCTTTTCGTCGTCACCCAATTTGGGACGTTTGGCGTTGTCCGCAGATTCACCGCCATCCTCCATCTCCTCCATGGTTCGCTTTCGCCGCCCATTCTGCTGTCGTTTGCGACGATTGTTGATTTGTCGTGCTCGAAGCATGTGATCGGACATAAGCAATTCGGTGATGCAGGCATCCAGCGAGAGATTCTTGGTGGTAATGTCCTGGAGGAGTTGTTTTTTGATTGTTTCTAAACGATCGTCTTCAATATGTTCAATAAATGTGGATGCCAAGAATTGATCTGGTAAAGCCTGGTTGAATTCTTCCAATGTTTCTTTGGCCGATCGAAAGCGTTGAGCATAACTGTTGGCAGAGCATGTCATAAACACACGGTTCTCGTTGTTTTCGGTTGTGTCCGTATTCTCGTGCAGCATCAGGGCAGTCTCCTTATCATTGCCATTCGCTACAGCAGCTGTGTGATTATTGTTGTTGTCGGGCCCCACAAGACGAAGTTTCTGCAGGACTTGACGGGCATCCGAAAGAATCCAAAATGCTCGCGGTCCCTGCGAATATTCTTCGTGCAGCAACATCCATAGCGCTCGCCCACTAGCAGGAATCGTGTCTGATTTGTTGTTGCTATTATTGTCGGCTGCTGCTGCTACCGGTGGAGCTTGTGATTCCTGTACGGCTTTTCGAATCAAATGTTTCGCATTTCCTCCCACAATGGCTTCAGCCAACATGTTGAAGAATAAATGGTCAATCCCTGTATTCTTTTTGGCGTGTTTTTGAGCTTCTTCGGCATTGTCGTTGAGAAGCGGGGCAATGGCTGTTTGTGCCAACGAGTAGCGTGCCTTGTTCTTCCAAAGAACCCAATTGAAATGATTTCCGTCAAACGAGTCGAGTTTCGACACGTGAACAATAGGAACCACCCCGGAGGCGGTCGTAGGCACCAATGCAGCACTCGTTGTCGAGGAGGAATTAGACGAATTATTGCCTTCCTTTTCCTTCTTTTTGTTCAAATTCAATGCCTTGGCAATATCCGCCAGTGTGGTTCGTCCCGTGAATGGTTGATCGATGGTAGCACAGAACTTCATAATGGCCCACAGCTTGCGTTTTTGAATCTGAGTGATGCGGGGTATACCATCCAAATCTCGCTCCCGAATATACCGAATATCCAAGGCGCGTCGAACACCCAACCGTCGAAACATTGGCCGCACATCCACGTTGGTCAAGCGGGCCATGTGGCCGGCAATTTGACCGACTTCTGCCAATTCCGCAGCCACGGCGGGAGGTGGATTCTCATTAGCATTCGGCGCTGCAGCCGCTTCATTCTCTGCTACCGCCACTGGTACGGCATTGTTGTTGTTATTGTTGTTGTTGTTGTTATCCCCGTTATTGACAATGGCGGCCCCTGCGGCAACTGCCACGAGATCACGAGCTGCTGCCGCCGCGGAACGACGAGCTCGTGCTGCTTGAGCCAGAGCCTGAGCTCTTATGGCTCGCAACTCAATGGCACTCCTCCCTTCTCCTTCGTTCTCTTCGATAATGTCGGGCATGGTAGACAGACACTGGCTTCCTATGATAATGGGGTGGCTACAAAGAGCTCTGCAAATTCTGTGTGAAGCTGCGCCCAACATCGCTGCTTGGGGTTTTGGAGGGATTGAATCAGAATTCAATTCAACGTGGGTTTCAAGTTTTTCACGGAAGGAGAGAATTAAGAGGGCGCCATCGCACCGGTACCGGTACCAGTACCATGGTACCCTGCAGCCTTGCAGTCCTATTGGAACCAACTACTCTGCTAGTAGGGGAACGGTACAGTACACCAAGTTCCCACCAAACAAAGCCAACGCAATGTAGTGCCCCCATGCCACTACCTCCCCCACAGCTTCACCAACAACGGAAACACCAACAATTGACCCTGCTCATCACAACCTAGACTGGAAGTGGTATTGCAATACACGGCTCTTAGCCTTATTCGCGACTCGATCCTAGATAGGGTTTGAGTTCGACTCATGACTGAGTCTTTCGTGAATAGTCATTGAGACAGAGTTCTCATGACCGCTAGTCATACTAGTTGTCAATCATGTTGTTGGATCCAACAGAGGAGTCGTCCTCGTTTGCGGAGGTCGTTCTGACTTGCGTTTGGCAACATGTTGCATTCGCTTTTCTTCATGCGATCAGCCTTGACCGCAGGTTTGGAAACTTTCTTCATTAATGAGGACAGAGAGTTCCTTCTTGGTTTAGGACTTGGCGTCGTCGGACTGTCGTTTCCAAGTCTGTTTCTTGTTGTACGCTGGCTTCTTATCGTTGTCAGACGAGGACTGAGACTTGGCCTTGAGCTTCATCAAAGTCATGCAGTCAGCAGTGTTGTGATTGCTGGACTCGTTGTAGTCGAACAATTTTTCTTCGTTCTTGGAAGAATGGTCGTTGTTGCGAGTAGACTTGTACTTCTTGCTGTTGTTCTTCTTCGAATTCTTCGAAGGAGCTTGCTTGGCATTACCGCCCTTGTCAAAGTCTTCGGGGGATTCCATGCGTTTGCAGAATCCAAGTGGTTTCTCTGAGAGGAGCTGAGAAAGGATCGAAGTCGTGTTCGTCCATCTTCTTCATCCACGAGCGTGGAAATTCTACAAACAAGTTCAATGACTTCGTCATGGTTCAACGTTTGGTTGGGTCCAAGAGGTGGTAGACGAGGAAGTTCATCGGCGTTCAACCGACTGAGTTGTTGACATAGCCGAGTAGTCAATCACGCTTTACGCATCTTGCGGCGCATGAAGCTTTCTGCTTTTCAAGTAGCCTTTAGGGACAGACCACTTCGATAACAGGCATTTATGCCAACGTAATGTCACACGTACCAAAGCAGGCTGAGCTGCTCCGTTCCAGGCAGCTCTGGAAAAGCGACTTGGAAAGCGGCTTCGTCTTCGCCGCCACGTAGATCGAGTGGAGCAATCCCGTTGATGCAATCTGGCGCAAAGGCATATCCAACGTATTTCACAGATGCCTGACAAGCTAGACGTAACTGCTCTGGCAAGCTACGAAGCTTCTCCTTAGAGGTTTTATTCGCAAGCGTAGCAATTGGCCGAGCCCGACGAAGACCTTCATCCATACGTCAGCCCACTATGGTTACTGGTATCAGATCCATGATATTTGACTGAAGGTGTACTTGGCGCTGTCAGCAAATCTCCTGAACTTAGAAGTTGTAGGATGGGTGAGCGAGAATCGTCGATTCATCGCATTCGAGGCTCGGAGAGAGAAGGAAGGATTGCTGTCAGCGCAGCTTAGACTCGAAGTGTACGCGCTTAGCAATCTCAGTGGAATAGTTGAGGAGCTAAAGGCTCATGTGTGAACAACATACTACGCTAAAGCTAGTGTAGAGATCTTTCAGTTTGTGAGTGAGAGAATGAAAATTATGCAGAGATTAGAAGCTATGAAACAAATCAACGAGTAGAGATCCAATCAAAGGATCGTAGATCATGAACATCCCGCGGAGACTGTAATGTGATATGGTAGGTTGCGAGCAACCTATCACTCCACGATCAAAAACGGAAACGCGTGGAAGATTCGTCTAGCATATATCTAGTTGCCGTGGAATCTCTCCACGGCAGCTAAATATCTATGGCGATGTTTCACCATCGAC